GAGGCTGACCCTAGCACCATCTTCAACCAGGCTCTGGGCAGCCTGCTGTTATGGCAAGCGTTGGGTTTCCTGGCTCTAGCGTGTCTGAGCTGTGTGACCTTGGGCAAGTGACTTGACCTCTCTGGGCTTGAATGGGATGAACCTCAGCAAATCCCTTGATCTCAAGGGAGTCCCTTAGCTCACTCTGCGTCCTCCGCCTGAGCTGGGGTGTAAAGAGGTAGGGGGGTGCCTGAGCCCCCGAGCAGATGGATGATTCTGAACATTGCTCCATGGGCCACCCCAGTGTGTGTCTGCTGTGCCCGTGGGCCTGGGCCACAGCCTGTGGGACCAGCTCTGGGTGGGGACTTCTCCCCAGCTGAGTCATCACTCCTGGGGTGCAGCTGGTGACCTAGATAGGCCAAGATCATGACATATCTTTATCTCTGACATCTCTCCTATGCCTGCCCTTCCCCTTCTTCTTCCTGTTCTCATCCCCTCATCCAGTCACTGGGTGGACCAGACTGACAGTTGACTACTCAGCCCCAAATCTCTCCTACGCTAGATAAGGTCTGTGGTCCTCCCAGGCCTTCTGTCTCTTCTTCCCTAAGTGCCACAACAAGAGTAATAGCTGCCATTTATTGCGCACTTATCAATTATGTGCTGCTTTACATACATTAAGCCTAATCTCTCTATTTGTCAGACAACGCTGTTCTATTATTATCCCCATTTTACAGATGACGGAAAGGAGGGGCAGGGAAGTTGCCCAAGGTTACAGAGCTAGGCGTGCCAGGACCAGGATTTTAACTGGGTTGCTCTGATGCTGGAGCTCCTGGTCTTCCCATGGTGCTTTGTACAGTTTGCCCTCATCGCGCCCTTCCTAACTCTCTCGCGGTCCTCCCTCCTTTCAGAGTCCCCTGTCCCAGAACCCCCCAACCGGTCCCCAGTAAACTGACTGGTCCCAAGTCCCAGTCCACCCAGGCTCTGTCCTCCCAGTGGCTGATCCAGGCACCCCATCCACCCGGTTTAATGGGTGGCCGCTCTCCAGGAGCTGGCTCATGCCCTCAGAGGTGCCTTCGAGAGATGCTGCCTACCTCCAAAGGAGCGAAGCCGTGTAGGTGGTGTCCCCAGCAGGCCCCTCCATCTGCTCCAGGGCAGTGGATGGGGTGGGGGACCCCCGGGGTCATGCCCCCAAACGGAGCCTGGGATGCAGGTGGGGAGGTGATGGGAGGGAAGGGGCGGTGCCAGGGGGTGCGCCCAGCTGGTGAGCGGTGATCCTCCCTTATCCCAGCATCAGCGCCTCGCTGCTTTTCCAGGCTGGAGTTTCAGATCTCGTTTTCACTTTGGCCTTTGATCACACCCAGAGGGGGTGGCGGGTGGGCCAGGGAGGGTGGGGGCGGGAGCCTTGAGAGACACGGGGGAGGGTGGATTCCAAGGCGACACCCCTCCCCCTCTCTGCTGTCAGAAGTGATGCTCAGAGGACAAATGACAAGGGTGGCCTCGAGCCGGTGCTTTGAGGATGGAGGGCGAGGCTCCCGCCCAGGCATTGCCACTGCCCACTCTTTCCCTCCCCCGAAATGAAAATAGCTTTGTTGCACCCTTCTCCCCATTATTAAAGTCCCCATATTTGCTGAATAAGGCTCAGAGGGTAAGGAAGAGACGTCCCCGAATCTTCCCTCCCTATCGCTGCAAAGACCTCTCCACCGGGGAGACAGCACGGCCTCGGACTGTGTGACGCCTGCTTTTCACTCTGCTGTGTTTTGAGCATTTCTCCTGTCGGTACATTGACAGCTACATTCAGTGACGGCGTACGATTCCTTACTCGCCCGTGTCTAACAGAGTCCTCAGGCCGGACATGGAACTTGTTTCTGATCTCGGCCTCCTTTTGCTTTCCTCTCCTGCCGGACAGTTTGGCATCAGCTCCCCGTCTCCTCCGGCTCCGTCCGGCGAGGGGGTCTCGGCTCACAGGCCACGCACTGGTCCGGGAGGTGGGCGGGGAAGAATATGGCCCTGGATCAGGAGGCCTGGGTTCAAGCATCGCCCTGCCACATGCGAAGGAGGAGGAGGACTTGAATAAGCTCCTTACCTCTGTGAACCTCCGTTTTCCAACCTACAAAATGGGGGGAATAACGAACTCTCTGCGCAGGACTGCTGCGAGGCATTCGGGACTTGTGGGTGTGCGGGTGCTCAGTCCTGGGCTCGGCCGAGTGCTGGGGGCTCAGTCCTGGGCTCGGCCGAGTGCTGGGGGCTCAGCAGGCTGAGAAGAAGCTGAGGCGGAGGAGGGGGCCGCCCAGGCAGACAGGGCAGCCGAGCACAGGCGTGGAGGGACTCTGACATCCTCCATTCTTCATCCTCGCACCCACCCACCTCCCCATGGTCATTCCTCACTTCAAAAAACCCTGCCCCACACGCACACACTCATTGCGGAGTAATGAGAAAACGCGGAAGGGTTCTAGGAAGCATCATTCCCTGGCGATTTGACCCCTGCCAGTGAACTCCTGTGGCCACTTCAGGTCATGGATTTGCGCGGCAGAGCCTCCCCAGGCCCGAGGGCCCTCCCCGCTGAGCCTGGAGGCCTGGGCCTGGTCCGCAGTGAGTGGATGTAGGGTAGCTTTGTGGGGGACTGCCCAGCTGAGCGGTCAGCATCCCAGAGCAGGCGATGGAGGAAAGCTGGTGCCTCGGGGCCAGGGGCCGGGCAGTCCTCGGCTGGGGTGGCAGCCTCGGGGCATTGGAACCCGAGGGTGGAGGGGAGGGCCACTTGGTGGAGTAAGCGAGCGGCATTTCGGAGGAGACAGCGCGTCCAGAGGGGAGGACTGGGGAGCAGAGGAGACAGGGGCGGGGAGGGACCATTTGCAGCCAGAAACCTGCGCCTGGGAGGGGGGCCGCGGGATGAAAGATGCGGTGGGCTCTGAAAATGTGTATGTCAGCAGCGGGCAGACCGCGCCAACACTCGGCGCTGCCAGGCAGGGAGGCACTTCCAGGGCGAGTGGAGAAAGGGCCACAGAGCCGGGTCGAGCTATAACTCTCCGGCAGGACCTACTTACACCCCAAGAACCCCACCTTCTCCAGCCGCCTCCGGGACGGGGGGCGGGGGGCGGGCATCTGGGGGTCTCTCGTCATTCTTCATCATCCCCCTGCCATCGCCTGTCTCCGCAGGAACGTCCTTCGTCTGGCCCGCAGGGTTCGTGTCACCCCACGGAGCGCGGGCGCCGTGCCACTGTACACTTCGGAGAATCATTAGCAGAAATCATTAGCGAGAATACAGCCTCCCCCATAAATCTCCCCGCACCTGGATCGGCTGTCCGCGCCTCATTTCCATCTCCCGAACTTTATGGTTTGTCCCTCGTTTGATGAGCGCCTCTCCCATCAATTGTGCCGTAAGTGCTTGCAGAGAAAGACCCCCTGCACTGACCCCATCTCAGACAGACGCGTCTGGGCTCCTCGCCCTGCATGCTGCGGGGAGGCCCCCTCCTTGGTCCCCTCCTCTGCTCGTCCCTCAAAGGGCAGCTAAAAGACGCGGTGCCCGCAGCCTCTGTCACGGATGGAGGCAGAGCTGGGCCCAGAGTGTGGCTGGGGCAGCGAGGGGAGGAGAAGGGGGAAGGGCCCAGGGCTGGCTGCTTGGCGTGGTGTGGTGTGGTAGGAGAAGGGTCCTGGGGCAGGGGTCAAGAGGCTGGAGTTATCTCTGCCCTCAACTTGCTGTGTGACCGCAAGCATGTTGCTTTCCCTCTCTGTGCCTCAAATGCCTCATTGGATGCATGAGAATAATGCTGCCCATCTTTCATGGTTATGGTGAAGGTTGAGGTCATTCATTCACTCATTCGTGCTTTCAAAAACCACTCGCTAAGTTCATCCAGGCTGTACGATTCCTTGGATACCTGCTATGTACCAGGCCTTTCTGGGCTCAGACAGAATCAGCAAGAGACTCGAACGCTGGCCGAGCTGGAAACCCGTGGTGGTTAAGAGCCAGGGCCTTCATGCCCAGAAAATGCGGCTTTTGAATGCCGGCTCTGTGACGGACCAGCTGTGTGACCCTGGGCAAGTCTTTGACCTCTAGGAGTCTCAGTTCCCTCATCTGTGAAGGGGGGGTGAAGTGAGTGACTGTGGAGGACACCTAACACACAGTGTACACTTGACACAGGACACCCATGACCACTGTTGTTTTGCCACCAAGAGGACGCAGAGAGAGAGACGATGGCTTTCCTAGGGCACCGAGGGACTGGAAAACGTGAATGAGGATATTTCGAGGAATGTGAGCAGGGAGGGTTTCAGGCCTTGCCTCTGTGCCGCACTGAAGCATTTGGAAATGGCGGAGGAACCCCAGGAAAGGGGCTGAGAGGAGGTTAGGGCAGAACGCGGCTTTCCGGATTTCCGCCCCTGCAAAGGCAGGTTGCTCCCAGGGCCTGTCCTCAGGAGACCTTGGGGCCCGAAGGAGGTGCCACTCCGCAGGCTGGGGTGAGGTGGTGAAACCGTGGGCGGGCCCTGGCCCTCCTAGAGGCCCATCTTCAGATCTCGAAGGCTCCCTGGCTGTGTCTGGAACGCCTCTGGGTTTTGGGACACAGAGTTCAGCCCCATCTGCCCACGGGAGGGTGCTGGGAGGAGCCAGGGAGGGGCGGGGACTGTGGCTGGGGAGGGTGCTGTGAGCGCCATCAGGACCATGGCCAGGGCGGGTCATCTGGAGAGGAAGCTGCGGAGGGGACGCCTGTGGGACCCTCGGGACGGGCCCTCCCCGGAGGGCAGGAGGGGCTCGGCACTGTGATCTTTGTGACTGGCATTGGCAGAGATGTCCTCAATTCCCACTGTGGGTGGCTAGGGAGTCACACGGCCTCGGGCAAGTTACTTAACCTCTCTGAGGCCCAGTTTCCTCTTTTAAAAAAAGGTTCTTAATCTCACAGATCTCAGAAGGTTTGGGGGAGGATTAACTACAAACTTCTTAGTTCGGTGCCAGGCACATAGTAGGCACTCATTAAATCGTGGTAACTGTGTTCACTATGACATATATTTTGTTGTATTACCTTCTTCCGAACGTAAGGGCAGGATTTTTGTGCCCATTTTAAAGGCAGAGAAACTGAGGCCCAAGGTGGCTCAGAGCTTACATGGCTTTAAGCAGCCAGATGGTGGTGAAGTTGGAATTAGAATCCAGGCCTCTGACTCCCATCTCTCCAGGGTGTCTGCGCCCAGTGTGTGAATTCCCAGGAGCTGAAAACAAAGAGCCAGGCCTCGGATTCATCAACACACTCCCACGGGGTGACTCACCTGCCAGAGCGAGAGCAGGGACCTGCCCCAGCACATTCCCGCCCCCTGGCCTGGCACAGCCGCCCTGCTGACCCGAGGGCCAGGAAAGGGGGTGCAGAGGAGAAGGGGAAGGAAGGGGTTGATGCTCTGAGGGCCTGAGCACCCAGGGTGGTGCCCTTGGCCTGGGAGGCAGGACAGTGGAGGTGGGGTGGGAGTGGGGTGTGGGGCCGGGTGGGCGCCACAGGCTGGGAAGCAGCTTGCAGGTTTTACAGGTCACATTATCTTTTATGGGCATCCTAAAAAGAATGTCAGGCACTGGAGGGCTTCCCCACCCCCTCTCCCTCTCTCTCTCCTCTGATCACTGCAGTCGCCACTGCAGGACTTTTATCACAGGCCTGGCCCTAGGAGCTGGGCGGTCGCACTGGTACCAGCTGAGCACTGGGCCCTGGGGACAGGGGGCTGTTTGTTCCTGGGTGGGGTGGAGCGCTGTGGCTGGTGGTAGCCGCACGTTCCCTCCCGCTTCTGGCTGGAGAGGGCCCATGGCGCCCCCATCTAGCTGGGACATCATCTAGACCTCCAAGCACAGACTTCCCTCCACTCCTCTGCCTCTGTCCACAGAACCCCTCCCCCCCCCCCCAGTGGGGATTGCCTCGCTCCCAGCGTCAGCTCCCTGGCACGGCGTACCCCAGATCGGAGGGAGGCCCATGGGTCCCCATGAAGACCCCGACTGTCCTCACTCTGTCCTGGGGGCTCCAGTTCCCCTTGGGCCCATCTTGGGCAGATCCCACTCCCAGAAAGAGGCCTGGCCCTGGGGTCCCCAGAAACCAGCTTCTAGAGTCCTGCCTGAGCCTCACCATCCTCACCTTTAAAAGGGGTCAGGTCCTTCAGTTCATTACCCCAAAGGCATTGCGACTGGGGCTTCGGCTCCTTACCTTTAAGGAAAACACCATCTGGAACGAACAGGGAGAGATCTGCAGACAAGGATGTGTGTGTGTGTGTATGTGTACGTATGTGTGTGTATGTGCGTATATGTGTGTGTGCGTATGTGTGTGTGTGTGTGTATGTGCGTGTGTGCGTGCCTGCAAGGGTACATTACTAGGAGGAGGGCTCTCAAAGACTCTGTGAGTCCCTATGGCACGGTGGTTAGTGGCATTGATTTTGGGTCCCAGCTCCACCACATACCATCTCTGAGCCTCAATTTCCTCATCTGTAAAATGGGGTGATAATAATAGCTCTTAAGTTTGTTGGGGGAAGTCACTGAGTTCACAGGGCCTGGCACATAGTAAGTGCTCAATAAATGCTAATGATCATAATTAGTATAATTATTAATCAAGTCTGGGTATGTCTGAGCCGCTGCTCTCTGTCCCTGAGGACTCGAGGAGAAGGGAGTGTGGGCTGGTGTGGCAGCAAGAGCCACCGGGGTGACACAGCAGGAAGAACTCCAGGCCATGATACCAGTGACAAGGGGGCTGAGGGTGTGACAGACAGCTCTTCCCTCCGAAATGGTTAAGAAATAGGGGAGACTAGCCAAGAAAGCAAATGCTGCCCAGGAAAATTAGGCAGCGGGCCTAATGAAAACTAGGCAGCGGGCCAAGTAAGAAATGTGACCTTCCTTCTGCCTCTCTCTTTTCTTCCCTCTGAGCCTGGGATGGGTGGGGCAGGGTGTTTGCCTTCGGTCACTCTCAGCAGGAGATACCAATAGGATGGACGTTGGGGGTGGGGATGGGGAAGGAGGAGAAGACGATGGTCGGGCTCTGGGAGATGGTGTGGAACTGGAGGAAGCTGGTCCACCAAATCTGGCCGTGGATCCAGCCAGGCAGGTTTTCAGGGCCTGCTGGGATCCTAGAGAAGCGCTAACACAGCCCATCATTTTACCTGCAAGTAAACGAAGCCCCAGAGGCGAGGTGGCTTGCATAGCAGGCAGGAGCAGGGTCCTGACTCGGCTGGGATACCTCTGATCGCCCTGGCTCGGGGCTTAGCCAGAGGAACTTAGCCCAGTCCTTTGGACACCTGGCTTTCTCAGGCTGGGACAGCTCGATCTCTGGGGCCCAAGTCTCAAACCTGCTCCCCCCAGTGCCTCTAAGAGCAGCCCCTAGCCGGGGTGGCCTAATGGTGAAGGCCCGGGGGGCTCATGTTCAGCCTGTGTTTCTCTTAAGCTGACGTAGTGAGATGTGCTGGCCCATAGTGGATCTGCGTTGCTCAAATAAAAAATAATGCTTACTCCCCCGATTTAAGGAAGACGATGGCATATTGGGATGATGTGCCAGATGCATCCCCCACCTTCATCTCCCCGGCAAGGTGGCAAGGTCCCGGCAGGGAGAGGAGCTCCGAGGTCAGGGTCCACTCTGCATGCCAGCCTCGGTCCTGCTCACTGCTGTGTGGCTAGCGCCCCGGGCAGTGCTTGGCACATGACAGGTGCTCAGTAAACATGGGAGAATGAATGAACGGATAATAAATGAATGGAAAATGAATGAATGAATGAATGAATGAATGAATGGATGGATGGGTGGATGGATGGATGCAGTTGCCTGGGGAGGCCTGGCTACGAAAGTGACACTCCAGCTGAGCTCTGAAGGCTAGGGAGGCGGAGAGAGAAGGGACAAGCCCTCCAGGCAGAAGGAGCAGCATGGGAAGGTTCTGGGGCCAGAAGGGCCCGGTGGAGAGTGTGGGTGGGACGCAGTGAGGTGGAGGCCATGGAGCCAGTTCTCTCCTTTCTAGCTGTGTGTGTGGCCTGGTCTGTCCGATGGGATAATAAAAGGAGCACGTAGGGAGTCGGGAGGATGCAGGGATCGATGCACAGGGCCCACCATGGCCAGCCCCGAGTACTCAGTGGCTCTAATATAATAATAATAATAATAATAATAATAATAATAATAATGCCGCCGCATTCTTCATTTTACACCATGCCCCATGCCCCATCCCAAACCCAGCCCGAGCTGCCGCCTGTGCTGCCCCTCCTGCCCCATCCCTCCTGAAGGTCGCCTCCCAAGGTTATCTCTGGTTTTCTCTGGATTCTGTGAAGTCGCACAGGTCACACTCCGGGGCTGAAAAGTGTTGCTTTTTATAGCCTTCCCTGATGGCAAGGAATGCTGGTGGGGCCGTCCGCGAGGCCTGGCCCCTGGGCAGAGAGAGGCCTCCGGGGCTGGGGCCCCGCCGCTGGACACCCCGGCCGTCTGGGCCCTTCTAGGCTGGCACCCACCCCTGCCAGGTGTCAGAGGGGCAGGGAGGCTGGCAAGAGGCAGGCTGCCCTGGACAGAGACCAGCACTCCCCGATTGCAGCTCTGGTTTTGGACAAACCACTCTCCCTCTCTCGGTTCCGTTTCCCCATCTGTCAAATGAGACTGTTGGGCCTTGCCTGCCCCCCAAAGTAGGGAAGAGTTGGGAGGCTTTGGAGAGAAAGAGGCAGAGCGTTAGGTCCTGTGATGGCGGGAGGAAAGGGCCAGGGGCCGGGGAAAAGGCAGGCAAACGCGGCGGGGAGGCTCCCTTCATGTTGGAAGGACAAGCAGGAGGAGGGAGGAGTGTTTCTGTGGGGCAGGCACTCTCTCTCCTTCAGGTCAGAGCCTCAGGGTAGACTGGGTAATCACCGTGGCTACCAGGCTGGCAGAACTGAAGTCGTTTTGCCCCAGGTCACCTGGCTTGTAAGTGTCAGAGCTGGGATTCCAGCATCTGTCCCCCTGTCCCTCGTTTGGGTCACTTCGGCAAGCAGGCCCCCTTGATGGCTGGCACAGAGCATCAGACGGGGGCTGTGTCCCTGGGCAGGAGACCTCCACGTTCCACCAGGCATGTGCCCGGCAGCTCGCTCTCCAGTCTCTGCAGTCCCTGCCTCGCCCAGCGCCCCCCAGGAGGGCCTGGCTCCGGGGTCCCGGCCAGGCCCTGACCAGAGGGCTTGCTCAGCAAGACCAGTGCTGCACTTTGCTTCCCCCCTCACCTGCTCACCCTGCCTCTGCCGCCTCCTCCCTCCTTTTAATCTGGTTCTTATCAAGGATGATAACATTCAGCAATAATAAAACGCGAGTCCACTTTCTAACAGCTGATTGCTCCCACGCCCTGATTCAGCGATACAGAAGCCCACATCCTGTGCTGGCCTGAGGACACCTGCATGCAGCCACCCCCCTCCATACCCCCCACCCCACCCCGTGGCTGTCTGCAGGCACTTCCATCACCCCCGTCCCCTGCCCTGTGCAGGTTCCCTGGAGAGCAGATGCTCTATGAGTATCTCAAAGCTGCTTCCTTTTTGCCAAAAGGACCCAAGAGAGGGGCAGGAGAGGGCTCGAGACCAACCTGTGGGGCCCACCTGTCAGTCCCTCTCTCCAGGTGACAGCAAGCGACAGGGACCGTTGACTGAGCAGCTGCTCTGTGTTAGGCTCTGTGGTGTTTTCGGGCATTTTCTCAACGAATCACCAATAACAGGTACTGCCCCGCTGCAGTGGCTCCATCGTTGAGCATCGACCTATGAAGCAGGAGGTCACGGCACATGCCCAGGTTGCGGGCTCAACCCCGATCGTGCAGGAGGCAGCCGATCAATGATTCTCTCTCATCATTGATGTTTCTCTCTCTCTCTCCTCCTCTCCCTTCCTCTCTGAAATCAATAAAGATATATATATATATATATATATATATATTTTAAAATAGGTATTATTCTTAGCCCCATTTTATTCAGAGATGAGGAAACAGAGAGGACAGGTCACTTGCCCAAGATCACACAGATATTTGGGTCAGGATTTGAACTCACGGCGGCTGGATTCCAAGGTCCAGACTCTCAAGCGCTCTGCCTCCTGCCTCCTGCCTGTGTTCTGCCAGGTGGAGGGCACCCGCCGAGCAGCATCTGTCCTCACACCACATGAGTGGTCCTGCCCAAGCCAGACAGACCTGGGACCCTGCCCCCTCCCTGTCCGTCCCAGGTCCGAGGTGGCAGGGCTGAGTGGGGGTTCCTGCTGCTGCCCAAGCTTGGGCCTGCTGCCAGGGCTGAGCCGCCTGCACCCGATGAGGACCTTTGTCCCTTAATAGGTCCTCCTTGGTACAGGACGTCCCAGGGCGGAGGGCACAGCCTGAGTGCCAGGCCTGGGCAAGCCCTGCCCAAGCCACTCCCCAAGCTCTGGAGCTGGGGGAAGGGCACCCTTGCCTTTGACTGCAGGCATGGGTTTCCCTGCCAACAAGAACTGGGGTTCCCAGTCCCCCCCAGCCAGAGCAGGACTTAGGGGGTGCCAGGCATGGTGGCAGCCAAATGGGCAGCCTCGGTCTTTCCTCAATGTTATCTACCCCATCCACCCCACTCTGTTGTCAACTTCACACTTCTTGCTCCTCCCATCTCTACCCGCCCCTCCTCCCCCCATTCCTGGAAAGTATCTGCCCTCCTCTCTGCCAACTTTTGAGCCTCCACAGGCTTCAAGGCCCTGCTCCTGGCACCTCCGCCAGGAAGCCCTCTCTGACTGCTGCCGTCCATCACAGCCTCTCTTTCCTCCCAGGAACTCACAAAGCCCTAATGCAGAACACGGCATCATCCTTCAGTTCTCTTCACCCAACTCCCTGATCCCCTCCTGTGTGCCAGCCCTGTGCTGTGCTCTATGGGGCAGGGGAAGAGAAACAATGATTGACATACGGCCCCAGCCTTGTGGGTGCTCTCAGGCCTGGGGGGAGCCAGATCACCTTATACATTCCCACGGCACTTTTTTAAATAGCATGAGCCTTGATCAACCATGCCCCTCAGGCCCCCAGGACTCTAGTCCCCAGGAGTGCAGGCACCTGGCTCAGCCCTGGCAGCTGGCTGATAGTAGGTGCTCAATAAATACTTGCTGGGCCCGGCCAGCATGGCTCAGTGGTTGAGCATCGACCTGTGAACCAGGAGGCCACGGTCTAATTGCTGGTCAGGGCACATGCCCGGGTTGCGGGCTCCATCCCCAGTAGGGGGTGTGCAGGAGGCAGCTAATCAATGATTCTCTCTAATCATTGATGTTTCTATCTCTTTCTCCCTCTCTGAAATCAATAAAACTATATTTAAAAAAAAAATACTTCTGGATAAAGAATGAATGAATGAATGAATGATCCCATACCTGTGGCTTCCTTTCCTGGACTCTACGTTCCTTGGGGACAGGGACAAGGTGGGCTTATACTCAGGAAAAGCCGGGGTCTCTGGGAGCTTGGAGGAAGGACATATAACCAAGACAGGTGGGTGCCAGGGAAGTGCTGTCTCACTTGAGACCTGACAGCGGAGGGGTAGGGGCAGGGAGCAGGCAGGGAAGGCATTCTGGGAACGCCATGCCGTGAGCGAAGGCCAGGGCCGTGAGCACAGGGCACTTCTGGGCAGAGAGAAGGCCAGTGTGATGGAACCGGGAGGGCCGAAGACAGGAGGGGCGCGGCAGGGCCACCCCAGGTGGGGCCTCATGATCAGGTGAAGGGGTCTGGGCCACATCCCGCAGGCCCTGGGAACCTCTGCTGGGCTTCGACAGGGGAGTGATGGCTCAGGTCCGCTGCCAGGGGCACAGCGGGTGGGCAGGACCAGCCGGGGCCGGTGCCCGCTAGGAGACTGGGGCAGAATTCCAGGGGAGCCAGAGGGTGGCCCGATTTACTGCTTTTCCTTCCTCCACCCAGAGAGTCTGGGCTCCCAGGTTGTAACCTCTGGGGACCCTTGGGGCTTGTTCTGTCTTGTCTTCCACTTCCAGATGGGGGCACTGAGGCCCAGAGTGGGGGAGGGCCTTGCCCAAGGAGCTGGGGTGAGGAGCCAGGTCTGGAGCAGGGAAGGGTGGGGGCAGGGGTCCATCAGAAGGCCCTGCTCAGGCCACAAGGCAAGACCAGGGCATTTAGAACTGTCCAGACCTGGGGGCTGAGGATGAAATAATCCTTCCAAGTAGTGGGGGTGGGGAGCCACTGGAGGACAAGGCTCGATGGGACCCCAAGCCCTCTGCGCCCCCAGCCCTGGCGGACGTCTGCCAGCCTCACTGGCTTCAAAGAGGCAGCCTGAGTCATAAAGCAATAATGTGATTACTCCAACTGCAGGTGGGGCCGGCCATGGCCACCCTCCGAGCACCTCCATGCGCCCGGCACTGTTGCGTTGAGCCCACATGATAACCCTGTGAGGAGACGGGGTTATTGACCCAGCTCACAGATAGAGAAACAGAGGCACCGGCCAGTGACAGAACGGTCGCAGCTCTGAGTGTGAGGCGGGATTTGAATCCAAGAGGCCTGGCCCCAGAGCCATCTCTCAACACAGTGGGGCCGGCACAGGTGATGCCCAGTGAAGACTCGGGCAGGTCTGGGTTCAATCTCTCAAATTAACTGACCCTGAGCCAGTGGTTCCGCCTCTCTGAGCCTCAGTTTTCTCTCCTCCCTTCCCGGAACACGGGGAAGAGGATGGGTCGACTCCACGGGGGCTGTGAAGACGCAGGAGGTGTCTGTAAAGTGCCGGAACAGAGGGGCCTCCGGGCCCAGCGGCCCAGCAGCCAGCTTGGCCTTTCCCGGCCTCTGCACGTCGCCTGCACCCACTCTCCCTGGCACATTCAGTCTCTGCCCCACGCCCATTTGCATGCCAAGCTGCCAGCACTGGCAGGTGAGCCAGGCCCGCCTCCCGCCCTCCCCCTCCTGTGGTGGGGGAAAGGGCTAGAGCCCGGGGCTGTCCTGGTGGGGGATGGGCAGGGGCTGGGGCTGGGGCTGGGGTTGGGGGAAAGTGGGCACTGGGCACAAAGGGGGGCCATCCTCACTCAGGGCCCGAGAGTTCTGGAAAAGGGGGCAAAGGCTTCTCCTCTCATTCCTCCAGCCCGCTTCCTCAGCCCTCGCTCCATGAAGGTATTTAATGAGCAAACACAAGCTTAAAGAGAAGGCCTGATTCTGGGAAAACTCTGGCTCTTCTGAGATGCCAATCAGCAATTCCCTCTTTCACATCCCCTGATTGGCCTTGGTTTGATATTGGCTTCAGCCCTCAACTTCCTCATCTGTAAAATGGGGGTGAGACTCTGTCCTGCGTGGTGAGGCTTCCATGAGAGCACACAGGGTGCTGCTGTTTTAACTCAACCGGATATTCTCCTGCCTTCAGCTCTCAGTCTGAAGTTCCCCCCTTTTGAGCACCTGGGGAGACCGGGGACCTGCACCCCCAGCTCCTGGGGGTATAGGTGGGAGCAGAACCTGGGCGCCCCAATTCCTGCCTCTGTGCGTCCTTGAGGTGGCAGCGCCGAGATACCATCTCCCCTCCCGAGAGCCCAGAGGAATTTGGACAGCAAAGAAAAAACAAACCCAGCCTAATGTTTTTCATTTTTGCCTTGAACAATGCCCGTTTCTCGGCTGATTGTTAAGCAAATATTGCAGGAGGCGGGCCCCATAGCTGACGCAGGCTGCGGATCATATCAGAGCCACAGCCCCGGGGCCTGGGGCCCTGCCACCCCCAGACTGTGCCCAGGACTCCCGCTGCCACTGTTGGCCTTTCCCAAATCTCACACCTGTGGGGAGGGGGCTTCCGGGCCCAGGTTCCAGGGATTCCTGACTCAGAAGAAGCAGTTCTGCCCAACCATGGCAGGCTTTCTCCCCCGCACCCCCCCCCCCTTCCTCTTTAGGACAACAGGGCGTTGAGGACTGTGCCAGTTTGCTCTGGACTGTGGGTTTCCTGTGATGGGACTTTCAGTGCTAAGACGGACAGTCTTGAGTGACTCCTGGGTCGTTTAGCCTATGGACTCAAAGAATTGAGAGTCAGGTAGACAGATTCCTTGGATGCCACGGCTACTGCTGACATCAACAGCCACACAGGCCTCTGGAGAAGCAGGAGTCCCGTTCTACGGCTGAGAAAACTGAGGTCCAGAAACCGACTTGCATGAGGTGAGGGAAGTGGCCGAGCAGGAAGGCAGGCCCAGCGGGGTTTCAAAGCCCCAGCTTTCCACCACCATCTGCCCCTTCTGGGGGCTTGACCTTGGCCAGCCACAGATAGTAAGACCAAGGTCAAGAGAGGTGGAGAGAGCCCAATCCCAAGCCCGGCCCTCCTCACTGAAGCCAGCTTTAGGGTGCCCCCACTTTCAGCGTTGGGAGGACTGGTTGCACCTTAGCCCAGACCCTAAAAAAACATAGTCCAGCTTATTTGGGGGAATAAAATGCTTCTGTCTTGTCTCAGGGGCCCCAGGAACTGCCCCAGGTAAGGAGGGGTCACTATGGCCCCTGGATTCTTGCCTTCCCTCGAGAGCCTGTTGCAAAGCCAGACAAACCAAGCTTGCCTGTCCCGTGAGAGTCACATGGAGAGGCCTGGCCAGGCAGGTCCCAGAACTCCAGCCCCACAGGTTCCTGAGGACTGGAAGGCAGGGTCAGCGCTGGGCCCCTTCCCACAGGAGGCTGGGCCTGGGCTGCCCGTCGGGCCCCCTCCTCGCTGTCCCCGTGCTGGGCTGGTGCCGTGGCCTCCGTGGCAGGGAGGGCGCTGGCACTCGCTCTGGGGGTCTGTTTGAGGTTTCCTCCGGCAGCTGGTGGCAGCGGGTACAGCTCGCTAATTAATTAGCGCTTAAGTACTTAGCATCCTCCTGCATCGTGTCAAACGAGGATTTGAGTCTTAATTCCCTGTGTAGGTAACGGTGGGAATGTGCCGGGGAGAGCGGTCAGGACGTAGAGGAAAGGGTTTTCCCGGCCTGGCTGTGGGCTGAGAACACTGGAGTGGCAGAGGCTGGGACCCTCTGGGGTGGGGGGGGGGGGGGCCGCTCCTAGGCCCTCAGCCCCTCATCCACCTCCTTCCAGGCACTTACCCACCAGGGCCGAGGAGGGAGAACACAGGCTCTGCAGCCAGACTGTCTGGGCTCAGCTCCCAGCGCGCTGCCTGCTTACCTGTGAGCCCCCGGGGGAGTCACTTAATCTCCTCGGTCTCGTTTGCGTGGATGGAGATGACGAGGGCACCTACCCTTAGAATTGCTGCAGAGATTAAACGAACTCGTGGAAATTCTGTAGAACGTGCCTGGCACCCGGCCCCCCGATTCGTAGGAGCTATTATCTTTCATGTATTCGCTCTCTCGGCCTTGTTTTTATTTATCCAAC